AAAAAAAAAAAAAAAAAAAAAAAAAAAAAAAAAAAAAAAAAAAAATGATCTAAGGGAAAGGACAGGGGAATAAAAACATTTAAGAGTTATATCAATCAAGGTGTGCATAGAACAATGATCTAAGGAAAAGGACTCTCACAGAAAAAAGTGTTTACTCACAGATTTGGTTTTTAGAGACGGAAGAGCCTTTTATTCGGCAGTAAATGTAGATTTTGGATAAGAAAAAGGATCATACATACATTAAAGCATAAACATATATTTTTTATATCAAAGGGGAATCAAAACATTTAAGAGTTATATCAATCATGGTGTGCAAACAACAATGATCTTAAGGAAAGGACTCTCACAGAAAAAAGTGTTTACTCTCAGATTTAGTTTTTAGAGACAAGAGAGCCTTCTATTAGGCAGTAAATGTAGATTATGGATAAGAAAAAGGACCACAGAGAAGCAATCCAAAATATATAGAACTTTATTTATTTCAGAGGGGAATACAAACAAGACACATTTCTAATATTCCAACCACTGGTACTATTTAGAAAAGATGTACCTTAATGTGATGGGATTTTCTCATAGAAATATGATCAGTTGCACCTTAGCACTAAAAATGATCTAAGGAAAAGGACTCTAACAGAAGATTTGTTTTTTAGAGACGGAAGAGCCTTTTATTCGACAGTAAATGTAGATTTTGGATAAGAAAAAGAATCATACAAAAGGAATCCAGCATAAATAACTTTTTTATATCAGAGGGGAATAAAAACCTTTAAGGGTTATATAACCATGGTGCGCANTAGATGTAGATTTTGGATAAGAAACACAATCTGGTAAAAATAATTCAACATAAATAGATCTTTTTTTTTATTCAGAGGAGAATAAAAACCTTTAAGGGTTATATTAATCATAGTCTGCATACAACGATCTTAGGGAAAGGACTCTCACAGGAAAAAGTGTTCATTCACAGATTTGGTTTTTAGAGACGGAAGAGCCTTCTACTCGGCAGTAAATGTAGATTTTAGGATAGAAAAGGACCCTAGAGAAGCAATCCAAAATAAATAGAACTGTATTTATTTCAGAGGGGAATACAAGCAAGATTTTGGATAAGAAACACAATCTGGTAAAACATAATTCAACATAAATAGGTATTTTTTGTATATCACAGGGGAATAAAAACCTTTAAGGGTTATATTAATCATAGTGTGCATACAACAATGATCTTAGGAAAAGGACTCTCACAGAAAAAAGTGTTCACTCACAGATTTGGTTTTTAGAGACGGAAGAGCCTTCTACTCGGCAGTAAATGTAGATTTGAGGATAGAAAAGGACCCTAGAGAAGCAATCCAACATATAAAGAAATTTATTTATTTCTGAGGGGAATACAAGCAAGTTCTTATATACCAACCACAGGTACTATTTATAAAAGATGCACTTAAATGTGATTGGATTTCCTCATAGAAATTATCAGTTGCACCTAAGCACACAAAAAAAAAAAAAAAAAAAAAAATCT